TAACGGTGAGAACAGGAGACCTAGCTCTTCTATTGCGAAACACATTATAGAGACAGGATATAAAATTGATGTTAACAGATCTTTTAAACCTATCTATAAAACGTGTTTGGGACGTATTCTAAAGTTTGTAGAAGCCCTAGCAATTAGAAAGTTCAAGCCACCTTTATGCGTTCAAAAACAATTCGTCATCACATTAAACGTTCTCTGGTAAATTTTGTTTTGATATCATAGCATATGTATTATTACCTCTGCTGTTTGGTTCAGTGATCTTCATTGTTATTTTGACCTTGAATATGTCCTTTTAACGTGACCTAAGTCTATTTTCTCACCTCTTACCTCTTTATTAATTTCTTATATATTCCTATGACAAGTCCTTGTGTGATCAGATTATTCGAAATGTTCATGAATAATTCCCATTCGAACATTTGTTTGTTTGAAATGTGTTGCGCAAATACACATTACACGATTCAGACAAATTACGTCGTTTTATTGCTTTATCTGAAACTATAAAGCTCAAACTCGAAGCTCTATGTTCCACCTAGAACGCGAAAAGGGGTCCAGTTAGAGTATAGTGGTCAAGGAGTTCGAAAACATCAATGACTTTGAAGGCATACTACTAAATGGATACCATTATTTATTATAAAGCCACTATGAACGCTGTGCACGAATTGAAGTGCAAATTTAACGCCTATCTCGTTTTTAAATACTCTTTGGATAATGTGTTGCTTGCTTATTAGGGTAACGTTTAGGGTTAAGGTTAGGACTACGGTAAGAATCACGGTTTGGGTTATGACTAGGGTTAGGTTTAGAGTCAGCACAAAGGTGAGGAAATTTTTTTTCTGTCAGCATTTCTCTAGTGAATAACTGCTGACTGTCTTACTAGAACTCATATTAATTCAATCGAGGACTTTTAGGGAAGACTGGAAAATAGGATAAGAGCGATAAATGAACCACAAACAGAACTCACCTTCAGTAACCTCGATGAATACATGTGCAAAACTGAGGTTAGGCGCCGAGTGCTAGGTAGGTGGGAGGGGAAATCAATCGACGAGGCTGTGAAATTACATCCATTGAGATGGTTAGGATATGTGTTATGTATGCCTAGTCATCCATCGCCTTCCTCGACAGTGGGCAATGTTACCTGACATAGGGTCAGGCTGGAAAAGAGCTAGTGGCGGTCAAACCAAAATATGGCACCAGTCAATGAAATCCACAACAGTTAGTTTAAGCCAGCCACGTAGGAAGGTGTAAACTTCCTGACTGGTTGGGGTCCTCGGGACGGTAAAAACCAATGGTTGGAAACTATTGGTGATATGTCTGTCTGTTTTCGACATAGAACTTTGCACATATGTGCGGAAGTTCAAGTCGCCACACTCCGTGTAGCACGCGAAGCAAGAGAAGAAACTACAAGAAATGCATAATAGAGACAGTAAGCAGAGGTGTGAGACATGGAAGGAGTAATAACGAAGAACAAAACGGTTTCATCGGAAATCATAAGTCACAAGGAGTGGATGCATCTTCGCCAGCCATTGAGAACGATTTTGAGCCATGTCACCAATTGTTTCCAACCTTAGATTTTTACCGTCCCGAGGACCCCAACCAGTCAGGAAGTATACACCTTCCTACGTGGTTGGCTGAAACTAACTGTTGTGGATTTCATTGACTGGTGCCAAGGTTTTGGTTTGACCGTCACCAGCTCTTTTCCAGCCTGACCCTATATCCGCTAACATTGCCCGTCGAGGAAGGCGACGACCAGGCATACGTAACACATGTCCTAACCATCTCAGTCTTTGTAACTTCACGACTTCGTCGATTGATTTCCCCTGTTTACCTAGAACTCGACCGTGCCTAACCTCAATATTGCTCACCTTATTATGCCACTTCACACGGGAAATAGAGCGCAGGCACCTATGATCAAAGACAGCTAGCTAACTTTTTCATGTCTTCCACTCTCAGTGGCTAGGTCTCACAGACATAAAGGAGGACGGAGCGGACTGATGAGCAGTACACACGCCCTTTGGTCGATAGTCGATTATCTCGTCTACGCCAGAGTCGGCGTGAACTGGCAAATGCGAAACGAGCCCCCTGTATTCGTGCTGAGATTTCGTCAGAGATCAACCTGTTGGCACTGGCTGATGGTACTTCCCAAATAAGTGAAGCGGTCAACGTGCTCTACCACTTCACTTCCTATTTTTAAACTAGGCGTCGATGTAGCCCAGTCAGTCCTGTAACATCATCTTGCATTTGGCGGGAGCGAATCGCATGCCAAACATTCCTAGATTGCGGCTCAAGGTGTTTAGAAGACTCTGCATTTTGTCAGAGTCGTCGCCTAGGAAGACTATATTGTCTGCATATTTTAAGTCAACGAGATTATTCCCTGATGGTAGCAAGTCAATGCCTGAGTCGCTGAAGTCACTTAGGGTTAAGTCCATCAGTACATCTATGATGAAGTTGAATAGAAAAGGAGATAATGGGCATCCTTGACGGACACCACTGGTCGTCATCAGTTCAGATGACAGCTCGCCGTAAGCCCTCACCTGGCTGTATGAGTACGAGTAGAGTGCCTTAATCAGTGCAATATATTTTCTCGGAATTCCCTTTACAGCCAAGCATCTCCAGAGAACTTCTCGGTCGACAGAGTCGAATGCTGCCTTTAGTTCAAGAAATATAATGACTTTTGGACGCCGGTAGGAATGACTATGTTCTAGAATCTGTCGGAGGGTGAAGATATGATCAATACACCCTCTTCCTGGTCTAAAGCCTGCCTGGCTCTCTCGTGTTTGTGCCTCCCTAGCACCACTTAGTCTACGCATGTTTATTGAGCCTAAGACTTTAGATACTATATTAGTCAAGCTAATCCCTCTGTGATTATCACAGGAAGACTTGTCTCCCTTCTTGTATATGGGGATAATCAGTGACTTACACCAACCCGATGGGACTTCTTCTGATTCCCAGACGCTGCGTAGTACCTCAGTTAATGTAGACAGTAAACTGTCTCCACCGTACTTAAATACCTCTGGAGTCATTCCATCAGGTCCCGCTGCTTTGCCTTGTTTCAGATTGGTGATATGGCTCAAGATTGTTCTCAATGGCTGGCGAAGATGCATACACTCATTGTGATTTCCAATGGAACTATATCGTTCTTCGTTACTACTATTCCTTTGTCTCACACCTCTGTTTACTGTCTCTATTATGCATTTCTTTTTATTTTCTTCTCTTGCTTTATTTGCTACAAAGAGGGAGTGTGGCAACTTGAACTGCCGCGCATCTGTGTAAAGTTCTATATCGAAAACAGACAGACAGACAAAACTGATTTAAGAACCTCGCTTAGTTTACTTGCTCGCCAGTCCCAAGCCTAGGTAAAGACGGAGGGTTGGGCGTGGGGATAGCAAACCTACCCCGGAAAATCAATCAATCTACTACAGAAACTTCAATGTACAAGAAAAGTATTGAAAAATATAAACGAAATTGGTTGTTCACTGGAATCAGAGAGGCGAAATGACACAGCAAGCTGGTGAAACCCCTCCTTCAAAGAAGCCAGTCGTCAGTCAGCGGGTGTCTTCTCTTGATGAAAGACAGAATACGAATGGGAACGTGGAATGCCCGTGCAATGTACGAGGCTGGTTGGGAAGGATTCCCAAGTAGACAAAGATATGAGAAGATATGGTATAGAAGTGCTGGGTATCTGCGATAAAATGGATGTGGATTATCCAAATTGTCAACGGGAGAGTCAGTAATCTACTCCGGTCTGGTCACCGAAACGACAACCACGAGCACACTGAGGCAGTGAGTAGCTATCATGATGTCACCAGTGGCAGGCAAAGCTCTAATACAATGGGAAATAATCTCCCCCTACAGGATCATGACAGCAAGATTTAATTCAAAAGGAAGAAAGGTTACAACTATCTAATGCTACACACCTACAAATAACGCAGAACAAGAGAAGAAAGTAGACTTCTACAGAAAACATTAATGGACAACAGCCGAAATGGAGACATCAAAATCCTCATTATTATTATTATTATTGTATCCTTTAGTTCCTAGAGGAACATAGGGCTTCAGCTGCGCACCTCCATTGACTTCGGTTTTCTGACAACTCATGGGAGATATGAATGCCAGACTAGGAGCAGATAATACAAGACGAGAACTCATCATGGGTCGAGAGGCTATGGCTCGGCGAAATGAATGAGAATGGAGAATTATTCGCGGACTTTTGCTCTTTCAATGATTTGGTAATTGGAGGTAGCGTGTACAAACACAAGGATATACATAAAGCAACATGGATTTCGTTCGACGGATACACCACAAACCATCCCAATCTCAAGGAAGTAGAGATGCAGCCCGCTGGATACAAAGTCCAGAAGGGGAGCATATTTGAGCTCAGACCATCATCTAGTTCAAGGAACCTTCAAAGTGAAGCTGAGATCCAAGAAAACAAATGAAGAACAAACCACAATTCAATTTCAACATTCACAAACTGAAAGACAAAACCGCAGGAGACACCTTCACTGCAGCAAACAGAGCAGAGTCCGAGACACTACGTGGTATCACTGAGGAAACCTGCTTGGAAGAACATTGGAATTCTCTGAAAGTGATGTTCAAGGAAACGTGTACAACTGCTCTAGGAAGAGGGAAGGGACACAACAAAGAATCGCTCTTAAGGGATACCTGGCAGCTAACAGAAGAGAGGACGATGGCGAGACAGAAGATGAACCAATGCAGAGATGCGCAACAGAAGGAGAAGCTATATTCAATGTACACTTCATAGCACTACTGAAGATCCTACTGTTTGTTTGCTTGATTTTTCATTCCCCTGAGTTTCGAAAAGAACATAGGACTTCAAGTCTGGTACAATAAAAAAAAGTAGTTGCAAGCAGACAAAAGCAGACTGGTTAAACTTTACAGTAGTTTAGACGCATAGAAACATGCAACTAATTGAAGTGAAACATAACAAGAAAGACAAAAAATACCCAGTGAACTATGTGCTAAATACTACTTACTGTCTTGTTCCATAGGGACTGGATCGCTTGTACAACGATTTACAGTAGGCTCTACACTTGTATCACCTGTAGATTTTGTAATGTGATCAGTTAAGCCGTCATTATTATTGTTAGCAGTGGTAGTATTATCATCCACACTACACTGTTGAATAATACCGCCATCATTGTCATGTTTCAGCTTTTTAGCACTAGTAATACATAATGAAGCATTAGATGACGCATCAGTTGTCTTTGTATAATTGGTATACTTTGTATCAAAATCCGGATCAGAATCTAAGAAACTTCTAGACAAGGCTTCATATGAACTGAAAACAGAATTCAATAAAATGATAAGACAAGACCAATCCCCGTTTTTCTTTCCCATATCTACTGCTCTTTGTAATTCATTCAAGGATAAACCAGCTTTACGAGATTCACGTTCCAATGGGGTGTTTGATGTAGACACTGTTGGACTAGTTTGATTTGCTGATTGTTTAATCGACTTTAAAGCATCTGAATCAGAACTGGATGCTCTAGGTGAGCCTATATAACAATAATAATAATAATAACAGAAAAATGATTACAGTAACGAAATGTACGGACTATAAAAGCTACAAGAAAAAGTCTCTTTCAAATTTAATCGTGGGTTAATATCAAGTTAGAGAAGCATTGAAAACCAGCTACAAGGAGTACTGGAAAGCTGTCTTGTCAGCCTAGTTTGGGACCTATCGGCAGTAGACACTTATCATAGGGATTCCGAACCCAAGACCTACTGGTTACAAGACCAGTGAGCTCATAGACTATTCAGCCACTGGGAGGTCGTGACCAGTGAGTTCCACACTGTCGGGCGGGAGTGAAGAAAAGTATTCGCCACCAATGATGACATTGGCTGGTGCCAGTCACGCTAAAATAATGAATCGATAGAAGTTAGAATTCATGGGCTGGTCATTAAGTCGGGTCCCAGTGACGTGGCTGAGTGGTCTCCCAATTAGCTTGACTTGTAACCGGACGGTCGTTGGTTCGAACCTTGGCGGTGGGTGCATACTGACGAAAAGCTCCAAACTAGAATGAATCAGCTGGCCAGTACTCCCTGCTGGTTTTCGCAATGGTTCTTTGATATCAATCCATGACCGAACTTGTAACAAATCAAATCTTTACAAAAAAAACTCTTGAAAACAGTTTTTTCAAAACAGTCACAAATTAATTTTGAACCAAAAAGGAAAACAGATAACCAACAACAACAACAACAAAATTCTAGAAGCTCACTAAAGAGAGGATTACGACCACGGAAAGCTGAACTCAATGTATTGTCATGATCAGCCGAATATTCATCTGTTATAATTCCAGAAGTTGGTTCATTTAACTGAGAGGAGTTTAAATCATCATTTTCTGAAGCATCAAATAAAAACATGATTAATCGTGTAACTTCTGCAGGTGTCATTAAAGGTGGGAATGAATCCTCTGTTTCTTCAGGACCTGTTGTCGATGCACCTGAACTGGCGACAAGATGATTTGATGGTGATCCATCATCCGTGGATGTTTGAGCATTACAAACACCTTGAGAAGGCTTTAAAAAACAATAATGAAAATAAATTAGTAATAGAAACATTACTTCATTAGTATCCATCATACTTTCACCATTTGAGTCTTCAGTGTTACCATCTTCTTGACCTGTAGGCGGTTGTGAGTTATTCATTCCAGTGGATGAAACACTTGATGAATTAGCAGGTAGACAAAGATCAGCACGATTGATTGTTAATTCTATGGCTAGTGCAGCAGCTTGATTCGGTGTAATACCTGGATGAGCAAACCGAACAGACGATGCACAATTTTGATTCTGACAGTCTACATTACGACATCCATGTATAAGCTGATTAAAGTATAAAGTTATGAGATGTTTAACTCGTGATTCAGGAAATCTCCTGAAAAAGAAGATAAAGCAAGCAAACAAAAAAAGTCAAAAATAACAATGGAATAACTCTAAAGAAAATAAATAAATAACTATGGCAATAAAATTAGGTTGAGTGTCACCATTTAAATAAACAGCCGTATAGTTGAGAAAAATACTTTTCAGCTTTTGAAAGAACTAAGTCATTATTCACATGCAGGGTCAAGTACTGAATAAGTCGCGATGTGAAGTTGAATTACACTGCCTGGCCGCTTGTAACTTGTGGAGGGGGGAGGGGAATGAGCTTAGTGCTTTAATTCGGTAGAAATTATGTACTAAAAAACAACCAAAAAAACATATTCACTTTTATGACAGAGACTATTTCTGACAGGTAGAAGGTTGGCTGCGAGCCATTAGCAGCCACGATATCATGAACACGTCATTCCCAAGATTGGCCACAGTGGTACGTTCTTTTTGTGCACTTTCAGAAGACCATATAACCGGAATATTACACAACCACAGGGTGGTGATTGCTCAAATAATTCAGAGTTAACAAATGATTCGTTCCTTATCTTACTTAATTTGTTCAGTTTGATCTTTCTGATTGGTTTTGCCTCGAAAATTTGCTTTCGTCTGATAGGATGAATAACATTTTATCGAAATAGTCTTGGTGATTGATTAGGACGACGCCAGCACCAAGTCTTTATTAATCAAAATCTCACGTAGCTGCATTCTTTACTCACCTAAGATCAATCATTTGACATCTGGCTCTGTATCAACATACTGATAACAGGTGTACAATAGTGTAGACTTAGATTTGACACTGGGAGGTCACTCTTCTGATAAATCAGTCCATCAAACTAGACGATTATATCTATGTCATTCGAATTTGTCAACTATGAACTGTCAATTATTTCAGTAACTATTACCCTCGGGTTCCGTAATTCCCCAGGGTTATATGTTCTCCCGAAAGTGTACACTGTGACAAATCTTGGACATGATAAATCACCATATTTACTTTACTCCTCGTAATATTCTTTCAAACTTGAGATTTTGAAAATGGCTAACATTTTCATATTTCCCGAAAATACTGGTAAAAATCACGCTTACTGTGGCAAAATGAAAATTAAGGGGGCAGACTAACTACTATGGAGACGTGATTCACTTAATGGCTTAAGCACTTTACTTTTAGTCAGCCATTAAGCCCCAGGGTTCGAATCCTGTTTACCAAACGACATTTCTGGCATAGTAGGACCCTTTAGGAAGATTGGTTACTGCCAGTGTAGTTCGCTGGGTCATTGCGATATATAAGCACGATTACCACGTCATGGAAGCAACTGTCAGTTAAGTCAAGAAAGGATTACACAGGTACAGACTGTTATTAGGGAATATTTTTTAAGCCTTTAAGCTAAACCAAAACTCTGAATAAACTTCCACCGACTGTTGCAATTAGTGAATACAACGATTCTCTCAAACGCTAGACTAATTCGGATTATATAGAGACAAAACTTCATAGTAACATTCACTGGATATCATGACCAGCTAGTTGTTTTGCGGATTTTTAATGACCCAGTATTGTCATTCAGATAAACTAACCAAACAAGTAGCCAACAGATCCACACTAACTCACAAAACGCAATACTGGTTTAGTATTGTTTGCCTCTTCTCTTTCCTTGCATCAAACACACCTTTAAGAAAAATAGCAACTTGAGAAGATAGTATTTGTTAATTAGAGCTGTAGTAAGCTAAGCACATCAGCACTAATTTCTTTTAGTAGTGAATTTTACAATCAGAAGTAGCTGCTATAATTTCTCAAGTATGTCAAAATACCCAAAAGCCTGACTGCTTGCATCAAAACTCCTTTTCCAAATTACATCGCAGCAAACCAGCAACAGTAGACTGCACATGTCCACCACAGCTTACACAATCTTTCGGTGCATTGCAAACACCTCGATCAGGGAATACGCTTAAACCTTTGGATACAAGATGTTAAAATGTCTGCACTGTACCCGAGTGACAAAGTGAAATTATGATAGCCAAAGTGACCCTGGAAACTAACCACATTTCAGATGCGAAAAAGCCGCAAAATCGTTGAAAAATACTCTAAAAAACATTGCAGACATGATATTACACTGTGTGTCTGCAGCTGATGTTTTGTAAGAATGTCTCCCAGTCACTACACAAATAATCTATAGAGAACTCGCACTATGAGTGATATATTCATTCACCCAGATGACTTTAGACCACGGTACTTTGAGGTCCATTGATATTTCCGACACCAGAATTTTTCTAAAAGCCGCTGACTTCGTAAGTTTCTTCTTATAACCACTGCACAATATAGGTGCATACAGTTGGGTTCACTATTCTCCTTGGTTTACAATCTCAAATAGGCCAAAAACGTTTGAAGTTGTCAAAATACACGCACTGACAAGAATGTCTCTAGTTAGCCCGACATTTTTCCATACTCTCGAGAGGATATTCAAATCTATTGCTAAGTGGGACATGGGACACCACATTACTCATGAGTAATTTACTGCAGCGAAGCACAGTATAAAATTTTTAAGTACTACGGGCAGACAAGCGGAAAATTTAGACGTTAGCAGATACCTTGACCGACTTGACATGTTACATAGAACAGCTAACCAAAATTTAGCGGTAAAAGAAAGCCGCAAAATTGTAGAGCAGGTGACCAGAGATCCTGGTGAGTCTGGACAATTTTATATATCTGATTCTGAACTTCAATCTACCTAGACTCCTAACCTTCCAAAATACTGCTGATATCATCACTTGATTTCGCCGGAGAAACATTATATCTAAGAAATATACCTACCAATTGTCAGCCGGTCGCATAGATATAGATAGCAATGTTACGAATCAAGTAATTATCTAGGAAGACTAAAGATCCGATGTTTCTTTAGTTTCTAAGCCATGTAAACTATATATGTATTATGAATGTGGAATACAACAACCCGATTATGGAAACTAAAACTAGACAAGAAGATTACATGAAAGTAGCGTTCAGTCTAAACGACCTCCTTGGGGATGAGAAGGAAATGGTCCAATGATTCAACAGCAGAGAGACATCAAAATATTTATACATAAAGCTGATTTCCCATTGTGAATGTAACCGAAGGTTTTTTCTTAGCTTATGCAAATGATATTCGTTCAAGACGGGCAGGTAACTTTGTTTTCAGTTTCACCTTGGAAGACTAAGTAGGATGGTATTTTTAAGAATGAAGTGCCGTCATTGTGGCCCACTAAAATTCCACCGTAGAATAGCTTAATTCGGTAGTAACACATGGTGATCCAATATTATTTACTTTATATTATTCCATTATTTCTCATCATTTTACTTTGATTTCCATGTCTCTCTTATCTGTGTTGTGCATTTCACATTGCACGTGTTGGCTACACGTTTGATAAACACAAGTTCCCTTATCAACCCCTAACTATTCATATTACTTCTAAGACTCAAGATCATGTTTCCCCCGTTGTTTCAATGTGTCTAAGTGAGTGTACTGCTACTGTTGAGTTTCCTTAATAATAAAGTAACACTGTAGATGCCTAATATTCCCTCTGGTTATAGTTTTGGCCATTAGTTCCACTATTACTTATTACTTTTTCTTTTCTTCTCGTTATGGGCTGGTTATTTAATACTTATGTTTTCTTCCATCTGTTTCAATAGATTCTTTAGTCTTGCCAACATACTAATAATACTCTCGCAGGTTGTTAGACATATTCCTTAATGTAACTTCAGACATGACGGATGAATTCAAGCCTAAATAACTGCTGCAGTGATGTATTTCCACATAATATGTGTGTTTGTTTTTGTCAGTCTGCTATATTTTGCTATGTATATATGGATCGATATTCCATTATAATTAGCCAATCATGTTAAGACTGTCTATTGATTTGTTCATTTTTGAACATTCGCTCAGACACTTGTGTTCACACACTCTTGTTCGGATATTCATACTATTTTTACTCACACTTGTGTGACATTGATTTTCCTTGTTTGGAAAATACAAGTATCATCGTGAACCTTGTGGTTTTCTGATTTCCACCTTCTTGCGTCAGGACTTTCAAATTCTCAACCAGTACAAAACAATAATTTGGAGACGAGGATGGGATGGATTCTTCTAAATTGGAATAACTATTTGAACAACAAATGAAATTAATGGAAATCTTCGTCAACAAACAGACTGGTCAAACTTCACCTTCAAGCAATCCAAATCATACCATGTGTCAGCCTCGTCTCGTAAACCGTTAATGCCCAGCTCTTGCTACGCTTGGGCTCACGCTGTTCCTTGAAGTTTCTCAGAAACGCTTAGTAATAACGGACGAAAAACCAAAACAACAATTGGCGACTCGAGGATTCTTTATTGTTACACCAACATATAAACAATGTTATAAATAAGGACTTCTGACGGTTTTCTGCTGACTTCTTTCTGAAAAGCGACCGATGAGACGATGACTAGCTGATTGATGCCTCCACGAAAATTGGGGAAGTTGGGTTTGAGCAAACAACCATGAATTGATCGTTCAATCTTCAACTACATCGATACTGCCCGGGAAAAAAGGGATCCATCCCTTTTTTCCATCACGACCATCGCACGTTGACTTGGATGCCATTGCGAGAACCTGGGTCACATGGACAGAGCTGAAATGGAAAACAAACAGAAAAGCCAACACACCACAAGCATACCCACAGCACAATCTCACACATCAATGACGACCTACAACTTCCAGTTAAAGGAATCCTCTTGACACATCCTCTTGCAACACAATCGCCAATTGCTAGAATGACTCTTGCAGAATGCAACGTGACCATAGGAGCACCTCACGATACTCTACGCACATCCTCTTATCTACTCACTACCAATTACCACTGCAATCGCTTGTCACTCATTCTGCCTCAGTTCTAGTAGCGGTGACGCATGCGAGCCTCAGTCGTTTACACTCCCGCTCCCCGGCGTGTGGGACCACAGCTAACAATTATCTCCATATGCATTTCATTCTCAGGAATAGCCTGACCGGCGTATACGACCCATCTGCTATCTTTAACATCAATCAATTCATTCACGGATGTAGAAGACTCGAAACAACTTCAGAAGTAATCACGACGAAAATTTTAACAAAATTATGCAATAAAAAACAAGGTACGAAAACAACAAGTAAACACAATGAATCCATAAACACCAATTGATATGACACACCACACATATATACAAACAGTACACACAAACTCGCAGTTCATGTCTTGATGGAATTCCTTTGAAGAATCGCAGGACTTACACCAGTACGCCTACAACCCTTCTCAGGTTGACGATTGTAAGTTGTGGAATGTCCGGACACAAACAAGATTAACCAACAATTACAATAATTGGAACTCACACAACTATTTAACACAAACTTATGTACAATCAATACATCAAATGTTGTGGATTCTGCCTTGATGAACTACCCTTGAAGAACTGTAGGACTTACAGCAGTACGCCTACATTCCTTCTCAGGTTGATGATCCAAGTGGAAGTCGTCCGGTCACAAACAGAATTACCAACAGCTAGATGACAGATGATATCAATTCAGTATATACAACATGAACATATGTACAAATTCACCCACCAAGCACATTGGACTGCTCATTGATGCGCTACCCTTTGAAGAATTGTAGGACTTACAGCAGTATGCCTACAACCCTTCTCAGGTTGACGCCCTAGGTTGGAAAATCGTCGCAGAGTTCATTTGCTGACTTCCTTCTATCAGCCATATCCTCGAATCTGAACGGTAACACGCCCATGTCATTGTATCGTAAAATATAGATGACGAACAAACACATGAAGTATCTGGTCAACCAAGCGTAGGCACAGAGTAATTTACACCAAAGATAATAACATTCAAATAGAAACTTGAAACTAGAAATGCCTTTATTCATGCAAGTCAATTTAACAATTACTCTCTCGTTTACACCTGGCTTATCCTCACTGAACTGACCAATATCTTTCGTCCTGTCAAATGCACCACTACTATCATAGTCATTGCACAAGATACTTGAGTTGATGGGCGTCTGTTTCATTGTGTATGACAACACCAACGACGACTGAGTGACACAAGTTGAGGTACTTAGCGGTGAATCAGAAGCTGTTGTTGTTCGGCTTTCAGACAGTTGTCTAACTGCAAGATTACCACTGTTGTCTTTTATTATAAGCGCTGGTTTAGCACTATCATCTGATGATAGGTGGGCTTCGCTCTGATCAATTACACTGACGGTTTGACAAGTATGCATGCCTTCTGCAACTGCATCTGCATTTAATTCCACTTCACCTTCAAGTTGTACAGAACCTTTGTTCAACTCAGCAGTGCGTCGGTGGCACAGTGGTTATGACTCTCGCCGACCATGTAAATGGTCCGAGGTTCGAGCCCACGCCGGCGCACACCTGATATCTATGGTCGGCCTGCAAAATTTGGGCTACCGATATCCATGCTGAAAATTCCATACTTGTACCAAAAATACAGTGTGGAATCAAGCTGTAAATCAAAAAAAAAATCAATCAGTAGTAGGAATTCCATTCATCTCATCATGATCAACCAAAGACAAATGTGTACTATCATGATCATTATCACAAACATTCACTTTAACGTCAATTTCATCATTTTCAAACTCTTTAATAACAGAAGTAGACAATTTTGGTTCCTCCTCACAAATCATTAAAGGTTTTATATCTTCACTCTGACTAGTTATACTTTGTAAACTTTTGGAGTCAGAACTCCACTCTGAAGCAGTAACTCTATTCTGTGACACTCTATTCAACAACGGCTTACCAGTTGCAACTACAGACTTCTTCACCGCACCGTTATCGTCACACAATTCGGAGTCAGACCTGGAGTTTACATTTAGCTTATCACTGAACTTGCTCACCGGTTCACAGTTCACTTCTGTATGCACCTCTTGCACACGTGTAAAACACAACGTGCTTGTCTTGCATCTTGTAACTTATCTGTTGAGGATGTACTACGAAACCTGTTACACTCACTAGGTCTATATGCATTACTAGACATCATGGAGCCTTCTCGATATCCACCTCTCTGAGGCCTACTCGTCATCAATGATTGCATATTGCTCTCAGACTGCTCTATTCTAGGGGTGAGATGTAATAGACTGGCGAACTTGCTCATAGATTGATTGACACTTTCTTTTACTAGTTTCAGGATATCATCAAAATTTGGCTCGATACCCTCATCCTCCATACGGGAGCTTATCTTCACCCACTTCCTTTGCAGTCGAGTAGGTAGGCGTCTTGCTATTACTTCTAGTATAAAACTCGAGTTGAGGTCACTCATGCAGTTCATCGAAATCAATGCATTCTTGTAAGTCAACAGATTATCCAAAAACTCAGTGAGTGCCTTTGAGTCGTCTTGAAGTTGACTACCGTTACCTTCGACAGCTTCGAATACGTTCCTTACAATCATTGAAGGTCTTCCAAACCTTTGGCGGATTATGCTCATAGCCTCAGCGTATCCCTCATTAGGGGCATGAGCTTACAGCACTGTATAGCTCTTGAGGCATCTCCATTGCAATACCTCATCAAATACATCAATTTCAATTCATCACTTAATAAAAAACTACTCAGCATGATCTCAAACTCTCTTACAAATTGTAAATAATCAGCCGGGTTTCCGTCAAAACACCGTGGTTCAAATTTAGGGAGTTTGATGTTCCTATTATCCCTGAACGGCGAAACAGTAACATCAACCATGTCATGCTTAACATCAGACACATCGTT